TCAAACCCCAGCGTCCCCCACCCAGCCTGGCTTTTCACGGGGGGTTTTGGGGATCCTTCAGCGCTCGGGTGAGGAAACGCCGTGCAGTTCCACGGTGCCCGGGTTCGCCTGTTGCCCAGAGCGCAAGCCAAGCCTGCGCCAGCACGGTTTACATTCTGACATACCACAGACGACGGTGCTCTTCTCGACGGAGTACGAATACTTCTCCGTTTTGGGCTTGCAGTGGCGCTGCTTCACGGCCTGGTAGCAGCAGTCGTGGGCCCGGCAGCACCTGGAAGCGAAGGACAGAGGGGCGATTGTGCGCCTCGGACGCTGGAATCCAGATCCGCTGAGACACGGCCGCGTATCAGTTGTGGCTCCTGGCTGACAGTGGCGGTTGGGGGAATGCCTAACTCAATATTTACAAAGCACTCTGATAGTGAATAGATACTGGGTTCCTTTGTGGCTCCCGCAGGTAACCATTTATCCAAGGTCACCTTCTAAGGAGTCTTCTGGTTTCTGGGCTGCCTCGCCTGTTTTTCTGTGTTGGGGGGTGGAGATTCTTTCATTAAACCCTTGGATGGCCAGCGAGCCCGCTGCGGCGCAAGACGAAACCCTTGCCGTGCATTCTGTATTCCCATCTCTTGCGTGCCTGTCTGTTCCCCGCCACCCCTCGTGCCTCCGGCGCGCTCTGTGGAAGTCCAGCTGATGGAGCGCAGTTCGAGAAGATGCCCACCTGGCCAGAAGCGATCGAGGAGGTGAGCGGAGAGGGCAGCTGCCTGGCACGTAGGAGGGGGGCGGTCTTGCCCTCGGCCTCCTGAGAAAGGGTGCTCTGCGGTGGGCCGGCCTGTCTTGGGACGAGGCTCAGGAGAAGCTCTTCAGGCCCAAACACGCCCATTTGCCTTGGACCCCCAGGACACCCCCGAGCCCCCCTTACCAGTCCGTGGCGTCCATCGGCTGCTTGGAGCCTCCTAGTCCGCAGTAGCAGCCGTACCCATTGTAAATCAGCGGGGGCCTTCCTGTTAAGTGTTGGATTATCTTCCCAAACTGGATCAAATTGGCACTTGCGAAGACAAGGACTGAAAGCAAGGTCGAGATCTTAGCAATACCCGCCCGGATTGCCATCCCGGGCACTTCCAGGACACCCTTTATAAGGCAAGTCACCACCACCCCCTCCCTGGGCACTGCTTTCTCTTTCCTGAATGGAGGATTTCACGTCCCTTTCTCTGGCTTTGGGTTTGCTTTTCTGACCCATCAAGAACTTTTCGAAACCTGTGCCTGCCTGCTAGGGCATTTGCTCTCTTGTCCATTTCACCCCAGGAATTCCCTTTTATCCCACTGCTCTGCAGTTGGAGCGCAGTGTGTTTCCAGAAAATTCTCTGACATTTTTGGCCCCAACAAATTTGGGGCCATTTCACAGACGGGACACTTCCTCCCCCCCCCCTCCCCGTGCATTCCTGAAATAACTGTGGTCTTTAAAGTGCCGGTTTGACTGGAACAGGATTGTGCCACTCTCGAGGCTGAGCTGTGCAACTCTGCAAACCCCAAGTTCTTTGGGTTTGTCCCTAATAATATTCCCCAACCTAGTTCACAACCAGTTGCTCTGGAAAACAGAGCAATTCCTTCCTTGCAGCTACTGGATCCTGCCTCGCCCTTTGCTTCCAGGGGGCTGTTCGCCCCTTCCCTCTTTGCCATCCTTAAGGCAGGGACCTACCGCAGAGGAGAAGCACAGGGCTGCCGCTGCCAAGCAGACACACCATCTTGTCGTCTTGATTCCTGGAAGAGGCAGCACGCCAGGCAGGGCGCCCCGGAACCACAGAGTCCTTGGGTTGGGAGGGACTTGGAGGTCTTCTAGTCCAGCCCCCGTCCCAGTTGATTAACTCCAGTTCCCAGTAGGCCAGCAGATAAGCCAGTGCCTGTACACTCACAGGATGATAGAGACGCGGTCCAAACCAGCTTGAGGTGCTCTGCACTCAGTGTGGAAGGAGGAGAAGGGCGCGAATGCCATGAGCCTCACAAGTCAACCAAGAGCTGTTTTCTTTGTGGTCACGCCTAGAAAGCTTCAACCTCCTGTCGGAGCAGAAAGGGTTCTGACAGCCTCTAATAAAGGAAGGGAAGAAGGCACAGCCCATCGAGCGCCGCTTACGAGTATGACCAAAGTGTTTTCAAAGGGTGTGTTTCAAGCCAAGATGGTCAACCAGTCCCACCTTCTCCCCAGGCCTTCAGTGAAGCTCCAGGGCTGCAAACTTACGCACACTGAAACCAGAAAGCCTCCAGGCCAACATCCCAGAGAAGGTCACGCTAGAAGACGAGCTTTTTCCATTCTGTTTGTGGTGGACGTAGAGTGTCATGGACCGTGGAGTTAGAAGGAACCCCAAGATGACCTGCCTCTGTCCTTGGTCCTGAATGCCAAGATCCATTCCCAAAGACAAAAGTCCGCGCAATCTGTTCAGCGGTCATGGTGTGGTTCGATGGTGAGGCTTACTAGCATGTTACGCAGCCCAGCAAAACCTGGTTGGAGAGGACCACAAGGATCATCTTGTCCAACGGGCAGGAAAATCAATCAAACGCTCCGTGAGAGGGGGGTCGTCCAGCCTTTTTAAAAAAAAATCTTCAGAGATGGAGAACCCACAACTTCCATAGCTAGCCTGTTCCGCCGTTGTTCAGATCTTACCGTCAGTACATTCTTCCTTATTTTAGTCCTGACCATCTTGGCTGTAGGGTTCTTTTATGTACCTGAACACAGCCATCGTGTTTCCCTGAATCTTCTTTAATTCCCTTTCAATGTCCCCCGTTTCTCCAACCAAATGGTCCATAGATCATTTCCTCGAGTCTCTGAATCATCTCTGTTGCCTTCTTCTGAATCTCTATTAACCTGGCAATCTTCCTCTGGAAATGGGCTGCCCAGGATCCCACAGGGTGTGGTCTCCCCGGCGCAGGGGACAGGGAAATAAGGGCGCTGCGTGTCTGACGCGACGTTTCTTCTGATGTACTCCAGAACTGCATTAGCAGCTGCCTCACACTTCAGGCGATTTCTGCCACTAAGGTCTTCGAGCATCTTCCTAGCATTGCCCAACCGCGGTTGTGTTTTTGGCACAATGATGGTTGGAGGACACCATAAGACGCCGGAGATCTCCAGTGTGGAAATGGTCCTCCCTTCTTCTCAGTGGCCAGCACCGCTTCCTAAGTCCTCCCCTTGATCGCAGAGAGTGCCTAAAGACCTAAATACTTTTAGGGACTTGGATAGTATCCAGCGTCCAAACCCACCCACCGAAAAGAGAGTGGAACAACGGTGAGAGAGTTTGCAATACTTAAAAGGAAGAAGCAAGAGCGCCACGGCGAGAAGCAGCTTGTTCCTTCCTTCTGAGGATCATCATGACTCTCAAGCCAACAGCAAAACCCAGATCTTGTGGAACTGGGAAAACTCGCCCGTTGCTCCAGCCAGTGGCCACGTCTGACCTAAAGGCTGAGTAGCACTTGAGGTCATCAAACCAGACTTCTCCGGGCACATGCTGAAGGGCATGAAAATCTTGGCAGCCACTGAGCGTGAACTTGCCCCTTGGTTTGTCTCACATCCTTGCTGCCCTTCACCTTCAAGGCTTCTGATATGCCCGTAGTGCGGAAATTCGTAGTGCGTGTATTTATTGAGCCCCTGTAACGAAGCGTAGCGCGGAGTGCTTTACGTTCTTTTTAAAAAATGATCGTGGGGTGGTTGTGGGCTTTACAAAGATGGGCCGCTTCTAGATCCAGTTTCATTTTTTGCAGGGCCCTCAAGATGGCACTGCCCGCCTGTGAAAAAGAAGGGCAAAAGAGGGGCCAGTTCCTCCGCCACGCTTAACTCACATGTTTTGCCTTAAGAAAACCACAAAAAGCCGTCCGCCTCCCCAACTGAGCCAGAAACGAGATCACGAGCCCCACGTGGAGGCATCGCATCTCCACGCCCTCGAAAGCTGTTTTAAGCAGCGATGTGAAGCAAAACCCAAAGAACTCTCCCGGTGTGTGTTATGCCGGCGGCGGTGGGAGCAGCGGCAATTAGTCGTGAATGTGGTTATTGTGTGCCTTTAATGAAGCATGGTGTAAGCATGGAATAAAAACAATAAAAAGGCCAGGGACAGTTGTAAAATCACAGTACTATAAACTAAGGAGCCTCCAGCAAGGGAGGTCTGCGATGTGTCATAGTGGTGGTTCTGACGCACGTCTCACCACCCCATGAGTCAGCCCTTCTTGTGCTCCCGGCGCATGGAAGGGCACCAACCCCTCGCCTCCCTGGGCTCTGGCCGGCGGGGTCTTCCTCCCGCCCCTGCGAAACACGCTTTGCCTTTAGCCTTAGCCGGCTTTGCGGAAGGGAACGTCTTCAAGAGATCTTCCCCTGGTTGAGGTCCTCCTTGCCATGGGGAATGGAGAGAGGCCGG